CCTAATCCCTAAACCCTAAACCTGCTGTAGGCCCTCCATAAGCCCTCATCCGCCCTCCATCGGCCCCCACCCCCGCCACGTTGCTAGGAGCAGATGCGGCGCTTCTGCCAGTGGCCGAAGCGCTTCTTGACCGAGGCCCTCTCAGTTTTCGGGGGGGTTGGGGCTTTCAGGGTTTCGGGTTTAGGGCTTTCGGGGTTTAGGGTGTAGGGGTTAGGGCATTTAGGGCTTTCAGGGTTTAGAGGTTTGGGCTTTCAGGTTTTAGAGGTTAGGGCTTTCAGGGTCTGGGCTTCAGAACTTGGGTTTCTTTTAGAGGCCCTAAACCCTAAACCCTAAACCCTAAACCCTAAACCGTTTTGGGGGTGCAGGGTTACCATTTTTTGGGATCCAGGCTTCTGGGTTTTCCGGGGCTTCGGCTTGACGGGTTTCGGGCTTCAAGCGCCTTCTCGGCGAGCCCTATTTTAGGGTTCTATATTAGGGTTCCTTTAAAGCGAACTGTAGAGGGCTATAGGGCTCCTTAAAAAGGCTCCTAAAGGGTTCTACACTAGGGTTCCTTTTTTAGGGGTGTCTTTGAAGTTTGAAGTGCGTGAGTTGGGTCTCTGATGTTCAGGGATATTTGGGGGTTAAAGGATTCTGAAGGCTTTAGGGGATTTAGGGTTGAGGGTTTAGGGTTTAGGGTTTGGGGGGTTTTGAAATGTAGCTTGGCGTCGGCTTCTGATTGGGGTTCAGGGTCTAGGGTCTTGGGGAATAAACCCTCAACCCAAACCTTAAATCGAAAGCCCTAAGCCCCAAACCCTAAACGTAGGGATAACATGGAACTGATCCATCCTGTCTCTTGACGGAGAAGGCTCCCAGTCTTCAAACTTATTCAACGTGTCAGCAAGGAGACCGTTTTCGGGGTCCATTGTAAAATATTGGTTCATGTACGTGCCCTTTGTGGGGGTCCGCAAAATATCCTTGTTTGCAGGACTACCCACGTACATGCAACCATTTGTACGCAACGACACGAAGCTTCTACGACTTCAGCATAAGATCCTGCCTTGCCCCTCTAAACCCTAAACCCTAAACCCTAAACCCTAAACCCTAACAGATGTGCTTCATTAAAAAAGCCGCGAAGCCAAATTTGGGCTGGCACTTCTTTCCTCGCTTGGGGGTTCAAGGCTTACTGGAGGTTAAAATAAAGGGGTTTGGACGGTTTAGGGTTGGGGCTTATAAGGTTTAGGGTTTAGGGGTTTAGACGGTTTAGGGTTGGGGCTTATAAGGTTTAGGGTTTAGGATGCAGGGTTTAGGGTCAGGGCTTGAGGGTTTAGGGTACTCCTTGAGAGCTTTGGTGTGCAGAGTTTGTCACCTTGGCTTATACCCCCACCCTCTCCCCCCGCACCCTAAACCCTATAAGCCCTAAAAAGCCCCTAAACCCTAGCACCCTAAACCCTAAACCCTAAACCCTAAACCCTTAATTGCTGAAGCCCTAAATCCGTAAACTGTGTAAACCTTAAACAGCTTCATCTCCGAGTTCTGAATCCGCGAGTTCACAAGTCTGAACTGTTATTTTCGTGTTTGTTGTTGTATACATAGAACTGGTTTAGGGTTTAGGGTTTAGGGTTTAGGGTTTAGGGCTGTTCTTAGTATGAATATTTTTCATACTGTTACTATTCGTATGAATAGTCTTACTACTTTGTACTATCCGATGCTTCCGGGGCCTGAGCCGTGGGTTCGCTTGTTCGGGAGGCCCCGCGGATCAACGCCCCAGGCGCCGCTGGTTGGCTCCCGTGTCTGCTAGAGTTTAGGGTTTCGGTGTTTAGGCTTTGGGGTTTAAGGTGCAGGGTGTGAGGGTGTAGGGTAGATGTTGTTAGGTGGCATGTTTTTGGGTTTAGGGGTGTGGGCTTCAGGCTTTCGCATCCATGGTTCCGAAGCTGAGGCTTCAAGACTTTTACGGTTTCGCACGGTGTTCGAGATTCCTGAACCTAGTGAAACCACCATGGGCTTGTGGATGGGGCCTCATTTTCGGGCTTATGCCAGAAGCCGGAGAGGCACTTGGTTCAGCAATGCTATCTATCATTGGTATGCCACGGTTCTCAAGACGACGGCGATTGCTACAATTTGTGCTACTACGACGACGTCTAGAAAATGTTGTTCTGGCGCAAAGATATTTAGACGGACCGTCGCACTGTTTCCTTGCGAGCTCAAGCGAACCGGCGAACAATCATACCTGGCTGCCAGCGAGTTCAAAACACTGTTTTGAATGTGTTGTCGTTGCTTCGATTACTGCTTTAATGATTGCTTTCCGCTACTGCCGCCATTGTGGCTGAATACTAGCGGTTGAAGTACTATGACTTACATGTAGATATCGCTTGTTTGCTGTTTCAATTGTCACAGTCTCACGACTGTGATTGTCTTTACGGCTATTTGCTGCTACGTACTACTGCTGCATATTTTTTTGCTATCAGTATAATTGTCATGATTGTCAATGATTGTTCCCAGAGAAACCAACACGTCTTAATTCCGCAATGTACTCTAAATCGGCTTGCTTGGGGACCCTTCTCCGCATCCATCCAACCACCCTCCGCGCTGAACCCGCAAACCCTAAAACCCTGAACCCTAAACCATAGTTCCTAAACAATCTTCTTTCCTAAACCCTGAGACCCTAAACCCTAAAGCCTACACCCTAAAACCCTCGACCTTCTAAAGCCTCAGCTGCAAACCCTTACGCCAATGCCATGCGCGTTGGTTGAATCTTTTTCGAACACCTAGTCAAGGCTGATAAGAAAAGCCCACACATCTTAAAATAACCTACAACCTCTTATAGCATTCGCTCCAAAGCCATTCTATACAATCTTCTTAGTATTCGTAGACTTTCTCTGCCCCTGAGAAAACTCTGTTGAAGCCCAGCAATAGAAACACGCAGACCAAACACCTGTAACACCATCAAAATGCTCGCCAGAATCATGGAAAATCTATAAGACCCTATGCAGGCCTATTCAAAAACACGCAGAACGTCGTGCAAATGCCGTAAACCCTGAACCCCAAACCCTCAACCCCACATCCTGAACCCTGAACCCTTTCTCCTCAACCCTAATCCCCGAACCGTGAACCCTAAATCCTCATCCCTAAACCCTACACACTGAACCCCAATACAAAATTCTCAGCCCTAAAGCCTAAAGCCTAAACCCTCAACCCTGAACCCTAAACCCTGAACCCTCAACCCTACGCCCTGAACCCTAAACCGACAACCCTCAACCCTGAACCCTAAGCCCTGAACCCTCAACCCTGAACTCTGAACCCTAATTCCTGAACCCTCAACCCTCAACCCTGAACCCTAAACCTTAAAGCCTAAACCCCTAGAAGCCCTAAGAACCCGGAGAAAGGGGCCACTGCACTTTAAAACAAAACCGTACTAGGGTTTATAATAAGAACCTACAAAAAAGTGGGTTTTGGTAGGTTAAGGTAAAGCCTAAACCCTTAAAAACCCGGAGAAAGGGACTGCACTTGAAAAAAAAAACCCTGAACCCCTAAACCCCTAAACCCCTAAACCCCTAAACCCCTAAACCCCTAAACCCTAAACCTTAAACCCTAAACCCTAAACCTTCAAGCCTAAACCCCTAAAACCCCTGAAGCCCGGGAAGGCCTGGCTTTGGGCTTCGGCCTTCTGAGCCCTTGCGGCTTCCGCGCCGCCGAGCTGGCGAAGAGGACGCAAGGCCTCCCTTCGAACCGGGCTTCGGGGTTTTTGGGTTTGGGGTTTAGGGGTTTAGGGGTTTAGGGTTTAGGGTGTAGGGTTTTAGGGTTTTAGTGTGGAGGATTTAGGGTTTGGAGTTTAGGGTTTGGGGTGTGTATACAGTGTGCGCGCGGTGGGTGCGCTTCTTTAGGAAGGGGGGCGCACCCACTTATCGCGCTTGCGTCCGCTTGCAGCCCCAACCACCCCAACTATTCTCAATCAGGTCTGGGGTTCACCCCTCAAGGGGGGCTTTCTTGCTGTTTACTTCCCGTCCGAGCTCTGCATAAAATGCGCGTTCCACAGCAAATCACAGCTGAGATGGATTAGTGTCGGGTTGTGCCGGCCGCGCGACGAGAAGCACGGGTTCCCAACAAACTTCGCCCCTCGCTCCCTGTCAGTTTGCCAAGGGGCCTGGAAGGCGAGGGAGGCGAAAATCTGCCTTTTTGGGTTTCGGGTTTTGGGGGGGCGGGGGGGCTGCCGGGTCCCCAGACTGCCCTGAGTTACCTTTCGAGGTTCCCGAAAGGCGGCGACCTGCGTTTGTGGGCATCCGCCGCTAAGCGAAAAAGCCCAGACACCCCAAAAAAACACAATCCCTCTCTCTTGACATTCTTTACTGCCTAACGGCAGACAGGTTAGGCGTCACTACAGTCCCCCTATACCGGGACGCTCTACCCTCGCAAACCGTTCTGACGAGACGCTCGGCCGGGACCTTGATCGGAGCCTCGAGCGCACATGCAAACGGGCAGCAGCGCTCTCGGCAGTTTTGGTTTTAGGGTTGGGGGTTTAGGGTTTAGGGTAAAGGGTACCAGATAATGGTGCCATAAGGGCCTGCCCCAATAAAACGCTTAAAGAGCTTGCAAGTTTGGGGTACAGGGTGTCCGATACGAGTTTAGGGCTTTGAGGGCTCCACTCGAGGGCTTAGGGTATATGGGGTCCTTTGAGGCGTCCGACAAGGATCCGAGAAGGACGCCATGAAAGGATGACAAAAGGGTCCTACATGTGTATAGGGGTGTAGGGCTGTCGGTTCAGGTTTATGGGTTTAGGCGGTTTGCAGGGTTTAGTAAGGTTCAGGTTTGGGGTTTAGGGTGTACGATTTACTGTAGGGGTTGCTGCAAGAGTGACTCTACGGGTTACTGCATGGGTTGCTGGACGTCGCCCTGATACGCTAAGCCTTACAATCGCAAGAGGAGTGGAACAACACCCGGAAAGCTGATTCGGTAGTACAGGGTACGTCTCCTTATGTGAACCCAAGACCCGAACCCTAAACCCTAAACCCTAAACCCTAACATGATAG